TCCTCCAGCCCAAATAACTGCCCACCCCTGGCTTAACTGCTCTAAGATCTAGTAATATAGTTTGGTTTCTGTTAATTTCCACAAGTTTCAAGCAGTCAAGTGATCTAAACATGTTCTTTATCTTTATTAAAAAGACTAGCAAATTGCCCATCAAGAATAACAGGGGGAGGAGGCAGGCAGGGACAGAGTGCCACCACCCCCTCCCAGGAACAGGGGGGCAGGGCTTGTATGTGGCAGCCTCCCGCCCCCGGCATCCAGCGAGCTGACTTTGTGTCTGTGCACTGTGCACTCTGGTCATTTCAGTAAGCATTGCAATTGGCTACTGAGACAACTAATCACAGTGCTCCAAGAGTGTTTCCGACAAATACAGACCGACTGACTAAGCCCTTTATATATATATATATAATTTTTTTAGGTGATCGTAATAATGCATGGCCTTAGTACCCAGGTGCAGAAGACTGAATTAAGTTATATTCAGAAACATTAGCTTCATTTCCCCAACTCTGGATTCCTTAAATATTGATATAATATAACCTCATAAATCCTGATATAAAAAATCCAGAATTCTCAAAAATCCAGCACATCCAGGGAGTACTGGCAGCCAGTTCTGGAGCAGCAGAGGGGAAAGTTTGCACATGGCCGCCACCATCCATCAGCCCGCGCTGTCGCTCCGCACATGGCCACTGCTCCAGGACTGGCTGCCGCTACCCGCCCCCTCCTCACCAGGACTGCTACGCCACCCCTCCTTCCCCACAGCCCACTCCATGACCGGCTGCTGCTCCAGTTTCAAAAATCTAGAATTTTCAAATTTCCAGCAGGTGCTCAGTCCCAAGCATGCCATATTTATGAGGTTATACTGTGTTAATTCTGTATTCACATATGAACTGATTTATTACAAGTTACTTCACTCATTTTCATTTTTATATTTGTGAGCATTTATAAGTCCATGGACTTAAAAGCCCCATTAGAAAGGCAACACATATACTACACATCAGCAGTTGCTAGAACTGGCAAGTCAAAAGTTCAATAAAAACATTTAAAACATTCTCTTTCAAAAAGTAAGTGCAAATTAAGCATTTACTAGCTATGCCTTCAAACTATTCATTTTGCTGACCATAAAAAAACAAAGTACTGTTTAAAATAAAAAGCCCCTAGTTTCCATTCTGATTTTCAAAGATTTAAATAGACTTATTCACAACATTTTTGAACAACCAACATCACACTCAGTATTGAAACATGATTCTTTTTACTCCAACTTGGATAAGTAGTGTGGGCAAACAGTGAATTTATAAACAATTTACAGTGTTCAGTACTTACCACTCCAGACAGTTGAAACCTTTGTTTATGTTTCATGTGAGGTTCTGTAAGTGGATGACACTCTAGGTCCCAAAACTGGGTGTAGTCTCCTTTATCTCTAGGTAAAAAGATGATGATAACCTACCAAAGTAAAAAGAGTTTACTGAAAAAAAATATTCAGATGGTGCATACCACTACAGCCTCATCTACTTACTTACTTTCTTTTTTACTAATTTAAGTCTGTTAAAATAACAAGAAAACCCACCTATTTATTTTATTTATTAATTTATTTCCATTATTCATCTCAACAAAGGCTCAGGGCAGCTTACATCAAGAGAACAGAATAAATTTATAGAACAGGAGAATGACAAGAGAATAAGTGACTTAAAAGGGAAGCAGAACATCAACAGAGACTCCTAAAATAATCTCTCAGCCGAGCTATGGTTGCTAAATATCTATGTAAAAATAAACAAGTCCTATACTTCCTTATAAACTACTGTGTTCACTAGAGGAGAGTAATAACTGACTTCTACTTCACTGGCTGAAAGCCCATTTTATTTGAAGAACCTTGAGCCTCCTCTACATGAGAGAAGTACTGTCCCTACATAAAAGTTGCAAACTTTTACTTTAAACATACACAGCTAATTTGGTTGACCTGGTGCTAGACCATGGTTTGCTTCAGCATTAACTTAAGCAGCTTAAAACAGCTACATTCTAAAACCAAAAAATGGGTCACCAAGATCCAAATAAGCATCCATATTTGCAATTTGGAACCAGTGCTTTTGTGTGACAAATCAAAGTCAAACTGGTTCAACTTAAACATCATTTTAAAGCCATTTTATTAAACCATAGCATAAATCTATGAAGTGAAACTGAAATAGCCTGTTGGTTTTTAAGTGAAACAAGTGAATCCACAGGCTCTCTCATGTCTCGGAAAAAATCCTAAGTATATGCTGCCAACACAA